TATTAGAGTACAAATTTTAAAAATATTACTTTTTATTGAAATAACTTTTGATCCAGATGGTCTAAAAATTTAAAAAAATTCAGTAATGCCTCTATTTTTATAACAAATTTATTCTCAAAATTTGATCAAGTTCCTATATTATTAAATGACTGGAAAACCTCCTTAACGAAAGAAAAGCTGCAATTGTGAAGAGCTGTTTTTCGTTATTTCGAAGTTCACGTTTATGACAAAAGAAGGAAATTGGATTATGATCAAGAAAGAGACTTAAAAAATTGTGAAAAATATTCTCTTGTCGTGAATAATATTTCTCTTATAAATAAAGTCAATAAAATTGTTTCATAAAATGTTTTGCTTGTGTAAAACTTCTGTTTTATATGTATATAGAACAAATTGAAGTTATATATTCTTTCAATTCATAATTCAAGTGCAACTATATGTGTCATTACGATAAGATACACATAAATATAAAATTATGTTTTACATTTATGATTGCAGTGGGATGGTAAAATATGCAAATGGGAATATTGTGAAAACTACAATGCGAACGAATATGAGCCACCTTTACTACGACGGAGTGAGAGAATAGCTGCAAGAAGGGCGCACGTTTTAACGTAAAGTTTCCATCGTTTTCCTTTTCTTTTTTTCAAAGCAAATCTAATGTTCACAATTGCTTAGAAAAAAAGGAGAATGAAGAAAATCGCCTATCGAGAGTAACCTCTATGATCCATTTTCGATGCGATTCTCTCTCAGGAACACAAATAGACATTACACAAGACTGAATGACGTACGCGATTTTTCTATTTGTCTCTGCCGTTGTGCTTGCATTTTTCGCGAGATTCTCGCTGCGATTGTTTTCTTCGCATTGATACAGAGTGAGAATTACCATTCGATCTATTTCAAATTGACCTGACCTAAATAATCGATTTATGCGACACAGAGCTCTTCCCTCCCTTTTTCTTCACGTTGTAAGTATTTTACATCGCGAACTGAACGATCGCCGTCTAGTTTTTATGGAATCTTTGATAAGCCATATCTTATCTCTCATTAAATATAACTTTCATTGATGATTGCGATTGATTCTTATTTTTACAAGGAAACTCATCTAAATAAAATATCTCCTCTTTTCGATTTTGATGAGCTTTACATCTATTCCCTCAATATATGTATATAACATCAATCTTGTAGGAAAGGAAAAAAAAACTTGTATTTTCTCAGATTTACATTTTTATATCATTTGGACGCTTTCGAATTGAATTAGACTTAAATTGGAATTAAATACATCAATATAAGAAACTAATAAATAATCGATGATAGAAATTAAATAATTATGATTCAATGTGATCTTTTCTAAAAATATCCGCAATTTGCGAATTTGGATCGCCCCATTGCCCATTTCTAACTGTATAAAGAAATTATACAATGTAGTCGAGAGAATATTTGTAAAAAATCCATATGTATAATATCAAAGTCGGAAGATGTTCCATTTATATGTAAAGCGAGATTTCTTTGTGATTATAATATACGCAATATCTCTTGCGAACATAAAAAGAAATCCGGCGCATTTACATTAAACGCGAATTTTCGCACAATCAAAACTTTAATAAAATAATTTTATGTTTTTTTAATACAGAATGGTATCTTTACAGTCGCAAAGCAATCTCATTCTGTGATACGAAGTGATACTTATCTTAAGAGTCTGTAGACACACTTAGGAAAAATTTTCTCACCGTGCGAGAATATCTTAACATTAACAACAATGCGACATCAAAAGAACGTCATTTTTATTTGAATTGACGCTTTAAATATAAACTCGAATGAATCGTTTTAATAAACAGTAAAAAAAATGTTTAAACATTGCGTGGCGATAAAATCCCACTTTTCCTTGACAGATTTCATTAATTAATTAATTAAATTAATTAATAATAAACTAGGAACGATCATAAGTTGCTAATGATTTAATTAACAATAAATAAGAACAATTAAAGTTATTGTTCATGATTTAATTAAATAATTAACGATAATTGATTAACGATAAACGAAAGACGATCGGGGCGATTCATAATTTTAAATTATTGCAGTTTCTACCGTAATGAATTTTACCGTTATATTATTATTTTTTATCTCGCGAAGAAAAATGTAACATATTGTTGGTATAATAAAATGCCACATGGCTTGGTTTTAATATTATTAAACTTAATCCTTTCAGCACAGAAATCCTTTACCAAATTTCTCCTTTTATAATTAAAAAGATCATAAAATTACAAGATAATTTCTTTCCAAGTTTATCTCTTTCTCTTTCAAAAAAGCGCTTTTATAAAAAAATGAATGGTATTACTCTCATCATATTGTATGTTAAACAGACATTACGTTATATTGTGCTTTTACTGATGTTTACCACATAATTAGTTATCTCATTCTGTTGGGACATTAACACGTAATTTAATGCATGCAATTACGTAACGCGAAATCCAATATGCATACAAGTAGAAGGAAAATGCGTGCAGCACACTCGCGTTGATCTCTTCAATACGAGTGCAGCAAGATCTTTGAACTGGCGCGACCTTTCATCGGAAGCCGCGTAAAATAGATAATTGATTTAACTCACGGAAAGACCAGAATTTGGAAGCCGCACAAATTCCAATGGATCATGACGTAACTTGCAGCTCGAACTTTGCGCGAATATCGTTGCAATTACGGGAATATTACAAATCTGCACGACAATTAGGGGAGAGTTGCCGAATGCATACTGGTCGCCTAAATCGTACCTCATCAATATTTTATATTATTAGTTAATATAGGCAATATTTAGTAACAATAATATAAAATATATGAGAAATGAGTAATATAGACAAAAATATAATAGCCTACATCTTGTTTTATAGATGTTAGTGGCGTTTTAAAAAATCAGGTACATCTGATATTAATTTTTAATCAACTTATGTAGGTGATAACAACGTGATCATCCAATTTTATTATAAATTTTTGTATTTTTATAAAAGAAGATCTATTGTAGAATATTTTATATTCACTGTATATATATATTTGCAACCATAGTAAAGATTAAATCGATATTTTTACAAAATTCGTCAAGTTTCCCAAATCGTACCATCAAAAGATAAGGCTGATAACTGACAATAATAAAACTAATAATTGATATCAATATAAATATCAAGTGCAAAAATAAATATAAGCAAATTAATTTTCGTGTTGTTTTTTTATTATTGTTATTTAATAATTATAAAATATCTGATTTTCTTCAATAAATTATTAAAATTAGGTATTAATTAATTATTAGGTATTAGTTAATGATTTTTTTTATCAATCTTATATTTTTAATTGTTTTCATTCATAAATTCAATACTTTCGAAGGAAATACGATAAAAAATACCTATAGATACGATTTAGGCGACCGGTTGCCTAAATCGTATCTTTTGCAGCATGTTACAAAAAGATTTATAACAAATTAATTTGTTATTGGTGGAAAGTTAAACATGTAATAATAAGCGTCCAAAACCTTAAGTTACAATTTCTAATTCATTTGCATATAAAACAATGCCAAATGGAAAATATAATAAAAAATAGATTAAGTGGTACGCATTCGGCAACTTTCCCCTATATCTTCGTAAATCTCAGATAAACTATTGTTCTGAAGCGTCTAATAGATTATCTCTATTTTTATAACACAGAAGCTAGTGATACAAGTTAGACACTTTTAACACTGAAAAACACGTTCACTTTCCAGACCTTTTAAAATTATCTATCTCTAAAATCTTTAATTAAAGCGCGCTTTATAATGAAGAGACCTGTTTTAAATTATAACACAGTAAGTTACTGATAGATACATTTTTAATATATCGAACGAAGACTGGCCTTCCATCCTAAGTACATTTTGTTAAATCCTTGGAAAAATATCTTCTTTTGCGATGGACTAATTATCTCGGGACAAAAAGATGTCCGAGGCACGTAATTGCCTCCATAATTGTTACGTCTCACAGGTTTTTACATGGAAATCGTTGACAGTCATTTTGCGAAGACAAAGGCGGATGAGCCTCGACGCTGCCAGATTTAGCGGTGAAGATGCGCGCATTTAGAAGGTATTATTTTCCGCGTGATCCTTGAGCGCGATATTTGCGAGGGAGAATTATAGATGAGATCTTTCTGCAAATATGAACGTGACTTATTTGGATTTAGACACGTAAAAATCCGACAACTTTAAATAGTGCTGTTTCTAGCGCAATGCCATATTTACGGTGACGGTATGTTCGTACAAACGAGGTACACATTTTTTTCGCACGTTTTTTCCTCCTATTATTCATCGCAATTACAATGATGAGGCGCTTGTCTTGCGAAAGATAAAAACTTATGATAATAAGAGTCTAAAGAAGATTTATTGGAAATTGAAAAGTCGATTTTGTATTCTTTCGTTTTTTTCCCCCCCAGATGACTATCCAGAGTAAGCAACTTTTGCTGAGAATAAATAGGATCCAATATTTTTCCTATATTGTAAATAATTATGGCAAAGAAGAAGATTCACAAACGTATTATTGTTTTATTAAATATCATCTCGATGTGGCCTAATTTTGTCGTAATTCTTTTCCAAATCATCCATTTGATCAAATAATCAGGGGAAATGAAATCCGTTTTAATTGAACCATACCCACATCATTGACGCTGTGATCTACGACAAATTCGATCCGAACAAAGTGATAATAGTAAGTGATAATAGTAGGCTTTAAATGAGCTTCCCTTCTCTTCGAGTGGTTTATCAGCGGCCTCCTACCTCCCGGATCTACCTTTGAGATCGTCTCAAGGTAATGGGCGACGGTAAGTACACGTTACTTCGCGATACGTAAATCCTTATTCTTTATTTTTTATATCCTCACATTAGTCGTAGTAAGCGAGCGTACAGCCCGCGCAGCGTAAAGCGTGAACGTAAAGCGATAATGTGATGCTATAAAAGCCAGATAAGAGAGACATTCGCGAGTCTTCCTTCTCGCGAAGACCGCGAGGTGTCAGTCGTCCGTCGATCGTTACCGGTACATACAGATAAGATATATTACTTATGCGAGAGGTCCCTCATTTGATACCGCGTTCTCTATTCGTAACATTCTTCATCCTCGATCCCTTTCGACGCGAAGCCCGGAAGAAATCAGGTAGGCGCGTATCGTTGAATTTAACTTTTTCTATTCTTCTGTTATTCGTCTCTTCTTGCATAGAACCAGCCCTGGCGGAAAAAAAAATTTTATGAAAAAATACAGAAAAACTACATAGATCGAGACAAAATCTTAGAAATTCTTAATTTTTTATTGACATTCGTATTGAGACGTAGAGTGAGGTTTGTTTGTCTTAGAGATTCTTAGTTTTTCGTAGATATTCGTAGTGGGATGTAGAGTGGCGTTGTTTGAGGGCGGAGGATTTGTAGGGTTTTTCAAAGAAACAACGTCGCTTTACGTCTCACTACGAATATCTATGAAAAATTAATAATTTCTAAGATCTTGTGTCTATCTATGTAGTTTTTCGTAAAACTTTTCCGCCAGGGAGGAACTTATTTTCGAAAAATATCAAAATACTATAGTATATGTTACGTATACAGTAATTATTATATAGTAATTATTATAAAATAGGACAAGAAGTCACTTTTTTTTCTTTTGAAAGCTCTTGAATTGTACTTTGAGATGTAGATTTTATTAGATACAAGCTTTTGTTTTAGTGTAGAAAATATTTAAAATGGCTGAAAATGTGCCATTTTTGATTGTTTTATCTCAATTTACTCAAAATTTTGACGTGCTACGTCAATTTTGTCAACGACATCGTGTTCAACGCGAAAAAATCTTCAGGAAACGCACTTCGGAGAAAATTTTGTGTTCTACTGTGTTATAGATTTTCATGTGATGTTTTTCTTACAAGGGGAGGCTCCGGAGTGACTCTCACTTCATTTCCCGATTTCAATGAAACTTGACAGGATTGTAGAGTGTGTTCTCCTGAATAAAAATCACCTCCCATTTGGGCGTAGATGGTCTATCGTTTCCGAGATATTTCAATATTAAAGTTAATAACGGTATTTCCTTTAGAGTTTATTAGAACGTTCATACTCGAGTATTTGTAGTGGATATGATAACAGCTTCCATCACTACGCTACAAATACTCTAGTATGAACGTTCTAATAAACTCCAAAAGAAATGTCGTTATCAACTTTAATATTAAAATATTTCGGAAACGGTAGACCAAATAGGGGGTGATTTTTATTCAGGGAAACACTTTACAATTCTGCCAAGTTTCATTGAAATCGGTGAGGGTCACTCTGGAGTATCCCCTTGTTAGTTCACTGTAACAGATAAGTTTTTAATCTCTTACAATTAGTCTAACAAAGGGAATCTCAAGTAGTGTATGTATGAACTTCGCCTAAATTTAAATATATTTTAGTATTTATCCGCCTGAATATTCGCGAGGAATTTGCATCGAAAATTTTGGAATTTTTAGTTGAATTGCGAACCGATATTATTCGTATAATTGCAGTTATTAAAATATGCATGAAAATAATCACAATTATAAAAAGTAATTATAATTGTAAAATAAGAAGTATTGTAATTGTAAATTAATTTTTGTACTACATGCATTACTTAATCATTCACTTAAATGCACACTCTATAAAAATTTACATAAAAAAAAAGATAAAGACAGAAAAACTTAATTGGATGCAAATTTCTCGCGAATACTTGAATATTGCATCGTGCCACTTGCTGAAGAATTACTAAGGGATAAGCACTAAAATAAAAATATAAAGTTAGGCCAAATCCGTGGTTAAAAGTAAATAAATAAATAAATAAAACATCAAAATAAATTAATTAATTAATATTAATAAATAAAATATATTTCTGATGGGTACTTCGATTCAACTAGTTTCAGTTTTATATATAGAGAACGTTTTATAAAGTATAATATTTTGTGTCATAATTTAGGACAATCCACCGACTTAAAGAGAAGAAGAAGTAAACATCTTTATTTTTCAGGACGTAAACATGGCAACTACCAAAATATGCAACAAGAAGTTCATCTCCAAATATATAGGCCGCAGAAATGTTGTTCCCATAATCCACGTTCAAGGAACGCACTACGATATCGGTTTTGACATCGTAAGGATTAGACAATATTATTATATTTAACGATAAACAATATTATTAGACAATATTATAAACATAGATTTTGCGAAAAGATTAATGTGACTTTCTAAGTTGAGCGTTGTCTTTTCCCTCAAGATTTTTAGTTCGAGAATCAGAAATATTCTTTACGCGTGTTTAAAGTCTTCAAAAGATCTCGAAGATAAAAAAAAAGCTTTGATAAATTTTATATACAGGTTGTCCAGTAATAATCGGATCACATTTAATTTTAGGCAATTTTAGGCAGGTAGAACAGATTAAATTGAATAAAAAAAGTCCTCTGTCATTTTGCATACTTCCAAGTAATTAATGAGACAATTAAATCCAATATAAGATTAACTACAATAATTAATAACAGTTTATGAATGAGCGTGTACCCATGAAAAAAAACATTTCTGCGCAGCGCGCGTTTATCGTTACTGCGGAATTTTTTAACATCTTATCACTATCGTTAACTAGCAACAGTCAATGGCAAGAATAATTTGGGAAAAAAATGCGATTCTCTTTGTTGTTGGTAATTAACGTTATCATATTCATTAAATGATTCATAAAGTAACAATTGTCGATAAGGGCGGTATTTACGATTCATTTTTATTTTAAGACCGTCGTAAGTAACGTCTTAAGATGCTAACACTGCCTTCTGATTGGCTTACGACATCTTAAGACTGTACTTAATACAGTCTCAAATATAAGAATCGACTAGGAATACCGATGTAAGAATGTTAGAGAATCTCATTGGTTAGTGTGCTCTACGAACGACAATAGTTACGCAACTAGGAGTGGCACATACTTATGCTATTAATCTCAATCTTATTAATTATTTCAGAGTTCGAAAAATGGCAAAGGACTTTTTTTATTCAGTTTAACCCGTTCCAAGATAAACGTCCTAATGATCGAACGTACACTTGTCTGGACACTCCACAAAATTTATTATTATTAATCTAAAATGCTTTTTTATATTACGATATTGTAATTCAACTGTATTTAACGATTACAATTAAATTATAATATTATACATAAAAAAAGCATTTGAGATTATTAACATAAACAAATAAAATATCCGGACAAAGATACATGTCCGGTCACTGGAATGTATCTGTACACAACAAATGACCTAATTCTTACACTAGACACTCTAGATTTATTAATTATCTATTAATTATTTTTGGAAGTGTACGGCAGAGGACTTTTTTATTCAATTTAATCTGTTCTGCTTGCCCAAGTTATGTGTAATCCGATTATTACTGATGGATACTCTGTACACAACATTTATCGGATTTTTTTATCTTCGATATCTTTTGAAGACTTTAAACAATGGTAAAAAATAATAATCTTATTATTTACAATTCTGTATTATTATATATGATAATATATAATAATATAATAATTTATATATAATTTTTATGTAATAATATATTATATATTTTACATAATAATAGTTTAATATAATAGTTGTACTTCAATATCTAATGAATATAATAATATAACAGTCATTTTAATGCAAATAATTTTAGTGCAGTAATATTAATAGTAGTGATAATTGCATTATAATTCACTCAATTTGTTTCGAAATTCAACATTGTCAGTTTTAGTGACAAGTTAAGTATATTCAATCGCAATTTTTTTTACATTTTCTAAATGACAAGAAAACTATATTAGAAATAAGACACCTGTCAGCGGCCGATGTAATTTATAGTGACACCTGCGTTCGCGTAAAACGCGAGTAGCGCAAAGCGCGCATGTAAATCAAGATCGCCAATGCACTTTGCAATGCAATTTTCTCGTGTCCGATCCGGAGGAATGAACTCCGATATATCACGCGCGATTTAAGAAGGTGCATAGCTAATCTGATCGGCACGAATGTGGAAGCGATAACACATGGATGGAGGGACAGTAAGAAAAGGAGCACGGTCATTGGTGTGACGTTCACCCGGATTAAATTCCTGTTGTTCTACATACAGACTCATACAGTCCCTCACTACATTGATCAATGTGTCACGCCATGTGCGTTTGATTAATTCGCATTCACGAAATCCATTCTCTTCTTCTCCCGCTTTTTCTACATTAGGGACGCACCTTCGCCAAGATGATACAGGATTTCGTGGACATTTATCAACCGCTGAATAAGATCTATCTGCCGCTATACGCAACCGAGGAAGGCAAGAAAGTTTATAATGAAACCCTTGATGCCGTCAAGAAACAATTTCCACAGTATTTGAGGGAGATCGAGGGAACGGCGGACGGTGCAAATGTGCCGTTTTACAAAGTACGAAAAATAGCTGAATAAAAAAAGAGATAAGAATTCGTCTTGGAGATATAATTAATTATCAGCAATCTTATCAAAATAGATTTTAACATCTTTGATTGACTTTGATTAATAGATTAATTAATTGAATTCATTTTTTTCTTAAACTTTGCAAATAATTCTCTCGTTTTATTTTAATTATTTTCAAATAAAACGACTGTTGGAGAATAGTAATAAAAATTGAATAATTACAAGGATTTTTATGTACAATTTTGGAATTAAATTAAAATGTAATTGTTGCAGCTGTTTCTGATGCATCTGGACGACATTCTTCCGAATGTTACTGAAATGCAAGGAAATACACTTCCAGTCGGTTGTACAACCATCATGTGCAACCAGTCAGGACATGTAAGAGTGACAATAAATCAAAAGATTACGGATGTTTTCCGGCAAGAGCACAAAATAATCTACATTAAACAAGAATGAAGTGATTCACTTTGTTACACTGCTTTTGTTGGCAAACCCGAGAAAAATGTTATATATAACATATTTTACATATAATATATCATAAGATATATCAATTTTTTATATAATTATAGAGGAAGGTCACCTATACTGACATAAATCTCCTAAAGCGACATTCCCTTATTTCTTAGAAACTAACCTTTGCTCTTTATTAATACTAATAAAAACGTAATCTGTTTAGCTAATTAAAGAAGTACAAACTCATAATTTTCATATATTTGTGACTTATTTCTATATCAAATCAGGTAAAAACAAATTCTATGAATCCGAGAAGAAAATTCTTACGGTGTTCTTTTGCAAATTGCGTAATTAAAATAATAGTGACTATATTATTGATAATATTATGTCATTTTAAATGTTTACAATTTCATAAATTAGTTTTCTTTACAGAATAGAATATATCTTTATTTATAGAATAAG